GGAAACCCAAGGAGGGGTCGCTATGAGTCGGGGCCGACTCGATGGCACATAACAACAACAACAACAACATAGTTCTATAGATAAATAGAATACAGAACATTTCCAACACCCTAAAGAATTTCCAATGTTGATCCTTTGTAGTCAGACCCTTTACCTAATCCAAAACTCTAGAAACCATTGATCTTTCTTTGTTCTGTATTTTTACCTTTTCCAAAATGTCACATAAATAGAATCTTAGAGTATGTAACCTTTTGATACTGGGGTTTTTCACTTAGCATAATGCCTTCATTCTGCTTCCCCTGTATTTAGTTTGCTCTTCTTTTTCTAGACTCTTAAGGTGGAAGCTTAGATTAATGATTTAAGACTGTTCTTCTTTTCTAATCTAAGTATTTAATGCTATTAATTTTGTTCTAAGCACTGCTTCCACTGATCCCACAAATATTGATTGATAGATTGTCATTCTGATACAGTCCAAAATGCTTTCTAATTTCCTTTAAGACTTCCTCTATGATTGACAGATTTTTTAATATTGTATTATTCAATTTCCTAATATTTGGTGATTTTCAAATATCATTCTGTTATTCTAGTTTAATTTCAGTATGGTCAGAGAACATGCTTTGTGTAATTCCAATTCTTTAAAATTATTCGTGCTTGTTTTATGGCCCAGGATATGGTTTATTTTATTGAATTTTCCATAGGCAATTGAAAAGACTGTGTGTTCTGCTGGAATTTGGTAGAGTGTTCTATAAATATCAATTAGGTCAAGTTGGGTGCAAGTGTTCAAATATTTTGTATCCTTATTGATTTTGTGTCTACTTGTTTTACTGATTATTGAAATAAGAATGCTGAAGTCTCTGAGTAGTGTAAATGTCAATTTGTCTATATCTTTTTCTGGTCTATCAGTTTTCTTCTTCATGTATTTAAAAACTTTATTGCTAGGTGATATACTTTAGGATTGTGATGTCTACTTAGTGAATTGACTTTCTTTATTATTCTGAAATTTCCTTGTAATTTTCCTTGTTCTCAGGTTGGCTTTGCCTGATCCCTCTATAATATTATGCTTCAAATGGATTTCTTGTACATAACACATCATCAGCAAATATGCCTATTAATCAGTATCTTTGGGTCATTTAAATTTAATATAATTATTGATATGGTTGGATTTAGGTCTACCATTTTATTTAAGTTTACCATTTATTTTAGGAGCTCTGGTGGTGTAGTGCTTAAGGCACTAGAGTGCTAACCAGAAGGTTGGTGTTCAAACCCACCAGCCACTCCTCAGAAGGAAGGTTGGGCAATCTACTTCTGTAGTGATACTGCCTTGGAAACCCAAGGAGGGGTCACTATGAGTCGGGTCCAACTTGACAGCACATAACAACAACAGCAACAACATTTTTGTTTTTATTTTTATGCTTATTCCTTCTGATTTGTATCCCTTTGCTTCTCCTTTCCTGCCTTCTTCTGAATTATTTGAAAGTTTTTCTGAATTTCATATTAATTAATTTCTTGGTTTTTAAATATTCCTCTTGTACAGTTCTTTTAGTGCTTACTCTAGGGATTATAATATATGTGCTAAACTTTCATAATACACTTAGAATTGATATTTCAGCACTGCAAAAAATGTAGAATTCTTACACTTATTTAGTTCCTTAAATTTCCTCCCATTATAATATTGTAGCTATGTATATGACAGTGAAACCTTTGAGAGATAGAACTTCAAGGAACTGCCTTGTTTTTCCAGGTCTTGCAAGTTTTCTGTCTTTGACAGTACTGTCTTTACCACTTTCCTATTGCTTATTTTTGTAAAAAATATTTCTGTTTTCCTTCTCTGACAGATTTTCACCTTATGCAGTTTTCAGCTTTTGCAGGCTTTACTATTTATCTGTATATATTGACAATCCCCATCAGAATATATTATAATTTTTGATGAAACTTTCTTGTAATCAGAGATGTACCCATTTTCTAACTCTTCTATGTACACTTGAAAATAATATATATTTATAATATATATACATATAAATCTAGGAAAATTTGAACTTGTCAAAAATGAAATGTAAAGCATAATGATTGATATCCTAGGCATTAGTGAACTGAAATGGATTGGTATTGGCCATTTTGAATCAGGCAATCACATAGCCTACTATGCCAGGAATAACGTATGCATATACTCATATACATGTTTAACTTGAAGCTGAAGAAAATTAAAAAAATGTCCATGAAAGCCAAAGGTATGACCTTGAGTATATCTGACTTGAATTTAGAGACCATCTCAAGAAGAGACTTGATGCACTGAACACTAATGACTCAAGACCAGATGAGTTGTGGGATGCCATCAAGGGCATCATACATGAGGAAAGCAAAAGATCATTTAAAAGACAGGAAAAAAGCAATGGCCAAAATGGATGTCAGAAGAGACTCTGAAACTTACTTTTGAATGTATGGTACCTAAAATGAATGGAAGAAATGATCAAGTAAAAGAGTTGAACAGAAGATTTCTGTGGCTAAAAAGATAAAGTATCATAATGAAATGTGCAAAGACTTGGAGTTAAAAAACCCAAAGGGAAGAATATGCTTGGCATTTCTCAAGCTGAAAGAACTGAAGAAAAAATTCAAGCTTCAAATTGTAATACAGGAGGATTCAATGACTCAAGAAGCATCAAAAGAAGATAGAAGGAATCACAAAGTCACTGTAGCGAAAAGATTGCTTGATGTTCAACCATTTCAAGAGATAGTATATGATTAAGAACCAATAGTATTGAAGGAAGAAGTCCAAGCTGCACTGAGGCATTAGTGAAAAACTGGACTCCAGGAATTGACAGAATACCAATGGAGATGTTTCAACAAACAAATGTTATGCTGGCAGTGCTCACTTGACTATGTCAAGTACTTTGCAAGACAGTTACTTGGCCAACTGACTGGAAGAGAGCCATATTTCTGTCTAGTCCAAAGAATGGTGATCTAACAGAATTCAGAAAGTGTCAAATAATATCATTAAGATCACACACAAGTAAAATTGTGCTGAAGATAATTCAAAATGATTGCATCAGTTTATTAACAGAGAACTGCCAGAAATTCAAGTCAGATTCAGAAGAGGATGAAGAACAAGGAATATCACTGCGGATGTCAGATGGATCTAGGCTGAAAGCAAGTAATACCAGGGAAGATGTTTATTTATCATGCAAAGACATTCAGCTGTATGGATCAAAGCAAATTATGGATAACATTGTGAAGAAAGGAAATTCCAGAACACTTAATTGTGCTCATATAGAACCTGTATATATACTAAGAAGCAGTTGTTAGAATAGAATGAGGGGATACTGTGAGGTTTAAAATCAGGAAATGTATGTGTAAGGTTCTATCCTTTCACTGTATTTACTCAATCTGTATGCCGAGTAAATAATCCAAGAAGCTGGACTATATGAAGGAGAACTTGGCATCAGGATTGGAGGATACTTATTAACAATGCAGATGACACAGCCTTGCTTGCTGAAAGTGAAGAGGACTTGAA